CTGTTTCTCAACATCATAACCAGACTTAGACCAGAAAAGGCAACACTTGTACAAGTTCTGAACTGGCTTTCAGGTATGTTTTGAGAATCTGGACAAGAAGAAAACCACCCTCCAGAACTCCTTGTTAATTAAGTTTTAGGAATCCATTCCACACACATGATATGAGACATATTGGTTTAAGCAATTCATATATGTTTTTACATGTCCAGTACTGCCACACACTCATCACAGAGAAACACCTTCATTGTGCATTAGCTTCCACCACATGCGAAAGCTTCCTTGCATAACAATCCCAGGAGCACATTTCACTCCTTTCTTTTCATACTTAAATAGTTGTTTGTCTACAGTTACTCCTTAGATGCGTGTCCATGTGTGGACGCAGCATTTTAAAGTGGCCACTCAACCATTCATCTTCCCTGGAGCTGTCACGTTGCAGCCTGTGCCAGACATTGCCGCAATAGCCATGTGTTGTTGATGTCAGCTCCTACGGAATACGCTGGGACTTCCAACTCCTACTCTGGCGTGTCAGGGTCACCTTTTAAGCATAGGCTTTTCAATAAAGACCTAACAGTTCGCAAGACTGACTTTTAGAAAAACACTTACGTTTTACCTGCTTGCAGAAGGGAAATGAATGCGTGTTCATTTCACTTTGCATCACCATCTATGACTCTTCCTCAAAACAAAAGCTTGTTCCACCACAGCCAAAAATCAAATTCTTTTGTTCTTAAATTGTTCAAAACTCCTGTTGTTTTGAGAAGCCTGAAGCTGTTTCTGAGCAAAATGCAAGGTAGAACATAGGTCATCATCAGCAAAATCAATTCCACTGTGTTTTTAATTAAGCCCAGGAAGTCGATCTCTGTGTCGGCAGACAGGTAAGACCAAAATATATATCACCAGAGGCACTTCCCTACTCTTGCTCCGTGATGTCGGATAACAGCAAGAGGATGGAACGTGTGACATATAAATAGCTTCCAGGTAGTAATGCAAATACTTGTAAGAGTTCGGAGAACAAATTCATAGCCCTAGCCCATAGAAGAGAGCACCTCTACATTTTCATTTTCGGAAATGCAAAAATACAATACCACCTTCACTCTTTGTCAACTTAGCAAGGTAGAAGATCTCCTGCGATAGCAAGAAGAGGGAAAGGCCAATCAAATCAAGCCATTTTCTGGGAAGGAACTTGCTTTTGGAAGAGCCTTGGCCTCATGACACTCTTCTGACAGGAAAACCTCTAGGGCATGGAAAGCTAGAACAAATAGCCATCAACAATTTTTTTATTTTTGTTACGAGTGACAATAAACCAACCTGAGAAAAAGCTTCGAAGACTGCTTTTTTCATTTAGCTTTCAAACCCTTGGACTGTCACAGAGCTCTTAATCCAAAGCAGAAATGATTCAGAGCTATAAAAAGCTGAGTACTTACTACTCCAGAGACAGGTTTTCCATCTACTACCTCCAGGAAAGCAGTCTTCTCCAAACAGGCAACAAGTCTGAGACGGATCAAAGTTTCTAAACTTTCAGATAATGCTGACAAGCAGAACGCATATCATTATCTATATCAAAGGCTAATCATTAACTACTGCTCGGATTTAGCTATGATCACTTTTACTCCGCTTTAGGCCTATTTATTGCCTGACCTGCAGCCTATTTCAAACCAGACCCATTACTTGCAATATGGTCAGTGGGAAATATTTATATTCAGCTTCTCCTAGCTGTGCAAAATGGGGGTAAGGGCTGAAGCAGCAGGGATTTCTGCTACATTCTACTTGGGGTGAAACCATCCCTCACAAAATATTGACAATCCCTATTGTTACAGCCAAAGATTTCATATGATCCAAGATAAACATTTACTGCTCGGACTATGCAGCCCACTGACGGCAATCACGTTAGGACCAGACCAAGGACTGGGAAGCTTACATAAAGCTCCACGTAATAGCGAAAGTAACTCCCGAGTCTTCCTCACGAGATACTTGTGAAAATGCAAAGAGATTTTAGAACTCCCTGACCAGATTAAACGTGTTGCAGAGATGACTTTCAAACACATTACACAAAACACATTTCAAACATTAATTTCTCCGACAGAGAAATTAGCGTTTTGCTTGCTTTTGGATATTGTAACAAAGCAAGCTTAGTTTCCTTTAGTATCTACCCCATAATGAAGAAACGCGACGTTTTCAAAGCTACAGGCCAATTTTTAAGAGCTTGGGGGAGTGGTAAAAAATAACAAGGCAGATATATCATAAATTGTGCAGAAATTCTTCAACAATGCGTACAAGACAAATCCTGCCAGGGTAGCTGGCTTTCTGACCCGTCTGATCGGAAAGCTGGCATCAGCAATTGCTACGGAAAAAAATTGTGACAAAGGAGAAAAAGTGGAAGAAGTATAGCTGTACTGTGCTCTGCAATACAAGTGCCCTTATTGTAGGGGCAGTGGTTTCAAGCAAGATCAAAAGCAAGAGTTGCACAAAAAGGGATTGACTGGCAAGCAGTGCACATGATCCTACTATCGTGATGTACAGGAGGGTTTTACTTAAGGAATTCAGCAAATTAAGGAAAGTCATGCTACTGCCAAAAGGTTTTTTAAACTACTACATCTTATCAAAGCAGCAAAAAAGTCAGAATAAAGCATATTAGGCTTTACTACCCATATAGCAGGACATCTTATAGCCAAGGACACTACTCTGTGTTTATGCCCTGTATGAAGAGAGCAGCACAAAAATGGCTTTACAAGTACAGCCAAACCTGTAGCAGGAACATGAGGGCAGCTGTAAAACTCCCAACTATCTTTCTTTTAAATTGTTTGGGCTTCAGTTTGACAGTACCTGTAACATTTTCCTCCAGCATCCTTCAGTCTCACCTGACACCACCTTAAACATTAAGGTTCAGTAGGTCCTTGTGAGATAATGTCTTACCCCAAGTTAATGAAGGGCACCAAAGCCAATGGTAACTTGATTTGTATAAAACTCTCCTGGCAGAGAACCCAGAAATCATGACTCAGTCTCTTGTCAAATCCATTAGACCTGGAGATCAAACAAGGAGACGATAAAAGAGGCAACTGAGAAAACCAGACCAACACCGTGGGTTGCATTTCACTTCCCCAGTATTCCAAGGCTGGGTGTGTTCCTCAGGAGCTTGCGCTTCTACTTCCCTTATCACTTTGATGCACAAGGGTTGACTTACCGTGTCAGAAATGCGCATGGTATCTCGCTGCCCTCCCACGGAGTGCTACACTGACAGGAGCCGCTGTGGTCACTTCCCGAGGGCTGAAGGAGAATGAACTGGGATCACCTGCCTGCTGGGAGCGCTGGCTTTGAGTCTACTCCACGTTTGTTAGTGTTTTTCTTTCCCAAGTAAAGGATGCAAGCTTGAAAATGCAATCAAGCTGTGACAATACGCCGTCAAGTCTCTTTAGTACAATGCCTTCAGAGCAGGAAAAGTTAACTGAGGTAGTAACTGATTAATCGGATCCCTGGCTCTCAGTGCAGCCTCCGTCCAGACAAAACATGGAGGAACCCAGCCAGGAGCTGCAGGGAGCTGCTGAGCAGCACAGCGCACTGAGGCCAGGCACTCAGCCCGCACCAGGATGCTCAGAGCCGCTTCAATTTTCCCATACAGAGTATATTCACCATTTGAAAGAAATCAGACAAGGAGCAGGTTGGGTCACAGGGACGAGCATCTCCATCAGGAGGCTGAAGCCACATGCCTTTCAGATAGCTGCTTTTCCAAGCTCACAAAGGAGCAGGCTAGCCGGTTGGCTAACAAGCATTAGCTTGTAAGCTCAGAAGTGCACTGCATCTTGGAGGTGGTCTGAAAGTACTGTTTAAGCCTACAGATCCAAGTCCAATTAAATTATCTCTAATGTGAGAAAACACCTGACAGTGTATTTACCATATACACTCCTTCCCCCAAGAAGAGATGCATTAAGTGTTTAAAAAAAAAAAGCCAACTGTCAAGCTTTCTCTTATCCAGGTTAGCCAAAAGATCAGCTAAATATATCAAAGCTCATATTCCAAGCTCATGTACCTTCATCAGAGGAATGAGATTTGAATCCGTGATAACTAATGAACATGTGTGGGAGAAGAAGGCTTTGTTAAAGTGAAACAGCACTCACAAAGCCTCAGGAGAGAACTTTGTGCACGTGCTGTTAGTTTCATGGCAGAACAGCTGTATCCTTTTCCAAGTTTTCTCCCAGCTTCTCGGGCTTGATATCAGGGTGTGCTGAGCAGCCAGTAAGAATAGAAGATGCTCAATCACTTACAACATTTTGGCCCGTGATCTAGAGCTACCATGGCCTGCTATGTTAATTTAGATAAACATTAGAGTGAACAGATTATATGCATGTACAACTTTTTAAACAGATTATAAATGACATTCACATCTGTGGTACGATGACGACTGTGGGATTTTCTAATATTATAAACGTGCAGACTGAAAGAGCAAAAAGAAAATTTTAAAATATTTTCCACAGAAGCAATTGCTCTAGCTAGCAATCACAATTGTTCAAGTGCCACTGGAAACCAGCAGGACCCTTGCAGATATGAACTGGTGAGACAGAGGGAAGAAAAGACGTTGTGAAACCTACGTTGGGAAGACGACATTAAAGATTGTAGAAACAGAGAAGGAAGGACAAAAAGGAGGTATTTCATCACAGCCTCCCGCTTCTAGATTGGCTTCTAAACCAGAAAAGTCTAATTCCAGGACCAACAAATGAAAGGCTTTAGAAAGTGAATTTGTAGTGCAGCAAAATAGGAGTTTAATTCGTTTACAATAACTAGTCCCATTATTCTCTGCATTAGCAGATTCCAGCTTTCAGCTGAAAAAGAGGTTAATGAAAAAATCATTGGTCTCGAGTCCCCTGGGACTTGATTGGGAACATTTCCAGAAAACCAGATTGAAACAAAAAGCAACGGAGTATAACTAAGATTGGATTTCCCAGAGAAAAGCAACACAAACTAGACTGAGTCTTTTTCATCCTTCCCTAAGAAAAAATTGCAAGACTCACAGTGATTTCCTGGCAGACTTTTGCAGAAGTTCACGCTGGCAGTCTGCTTCAGCTCAACTTCACCGAATTCTGATGCAGATTATTGCTAACTTTCAGGGTGACCTTCAGCCAAGTGTGGAGAAGGCAGGTCTGCAGAGGCATGCAATTTTCCTGTTGGGTAGAGGGGTCTTTATAGCAAATAAAGAAACCAAAAAGGAAACGAGAAAATATTACATTTTACTTCAAAGAACAAAAAGTTCTGCCTTCTCTCTGACCTAATGTCTGGTTGGAAAACAAGAGAGCCAAAAGGAAGCTCCTTAGGGCCCGGCCTCAAAACTCACCGTGTGAATACGGTAGGTCTTCTCATCTATTTGTACTAGAAGACTGTTAAAGATTAGTATTCTCAACACCTTCCCTTCTCAAGTGTTAAGCTTTTGTTCAGGGATAGTGTCTCACTAATCCAAAACTTGAAGTTACACTGCAAAGGGGTAAGAGAGAAGAATCCTCCCAAGCCTCTTTTCTAAAAAGGAAAAAAAAGAAAACACAAACCTCCCTGTCATTGCACCACTCCAAGTCAGAGTAAGTGGCAGGGACTATACCTTTAAAACAAAAAGCAAACATGCAAAAGTGACTTGGAAAGCTTATTTAATTCTTCCTCTCTACTGGCAGAAATTATTCTAATTCTCAGCCTAGTTAAAAAGCTGCTCTAGATTAGAAATCCGATATGAAATTAAAATAATTCTCTGTAACTTCCAACAAGCAGCGAAATCTCAGTAGAAAACACATACAAAATTTCTCAGTTCTCAATACAAAGTTGTGTGGGAGCCTGCAACTCCTGCTAGTTTTATTCTTTCCAATCCTCTTTTTTTTTTTGGGGGGGGGGGGAGCGGAAGAAGAAAAAACCTGCTTACTGCAAAAATTTTTGTATTCATAGCAAAAAGCATCGCTTTAATTTTGTATTGTGCAGCAGGGCAGTCACAGTCAGCCTCACTGACACATCCACAGTTATGAAGCCAACATGCATTTAAATAGCGATATTGACACATTATTTCCAGTGCCCCCTTTCTAATGAAGGATGAGAAAAAAAGTAATGCAGAATCCAAAGCTTGACGAGAGCCTCAGGAAATATTACATCATAAATTGCATTAATTGGGACCATTAAACTGAACGATAACTTACCCTATAAGATCACATATTGTTACTCATTAAAAATACTGCAAAAGCTTTATTTACCTCAGGCTCAAGCAGAGGCAAGTTAAGATCAAACGGATTAAAAGTATATTTAATAAATACTTGTGAAGAGTTTAATCCACCTTTGCACAAAATGTCATACTATTAAGCATTCTGAAGCTTGGAATTTGAGCACGAACAGGAAAAATCGGTCGATGACTGTGAACTCATGTGGAGCCACAAGCCCACTGCAAACTCAAATGCAGAAGAGGGCTACGAACAAAGCTTAAATTAAAAAAAAAAGTGGCTAAAACAGGGCTTAGACCTGATGCTTGCTGTCATGCTGCAGGACGTACTCCTACCAGCTACCTACCCACCCTCACTGACATTAACACTTGCCAGCACTGAATCCCAGCGTGGGAAAGCACATCAAATTCTCAGCTAAGAGATTGTTCACAGGACAGGAATCCTTGATTGTAGCAGGACTGTTATGTTTCTGCTACCAACAGTCGAAGTTAAACTTCGTACTAAAAAAAAAATAAAAAATAAAAAGCTGGGTACAGACATAACATTACCTGTACCCAAAAAAACCTAAATTCAAGTGCAACACTAGGACTTAGCCACATAGGTCTTCTTCACTGTTTAAAAAATATATCTTGAGTGCTAACTTGGTAGAAATACGGAAGGAGGCAAAGCAACAAATTATCTCTTCATCTAAGGAACGTAGGAACCACAACTCCTATTCGAAGTTCATGTCCACCTGCCATATCAAGATAGGACCAATCTGCTCCCATTAGGAATTTACATCAAATTATTGTATAACCATGGTGTGTGTGCGTTTTTGTGGTTTTTTTTAAAACAGAAACAAGGCTTTTGACCCTTTGCATGTTTCATTCTAAAATAATCACGTATTCTGCAATGAAAAAGCTACTTAATACTTCCCCATGTCTTTTCCCTTTAGAATTGAAATCACTGATATCCCAGTCATGCTGCATTCTCATTGCAATAAAACCCTCAAATTACTGCAAACGCAGCGCTACAACAGACCTAGCAACTTCGTGCTCGGACTCAAACATCCTAAAAGTAACTATTATTACAAATTTCCAATCAGTGCCAGAAAATATCCAAAGCCAGGAAATTATTCAGCCCTTATTGCCGTTTTGCTCTCCCCCGCGTTCAGTTTTGCCGCATTTCAGCATCCCCGGGTTCCGAAGTCCTGCGTTTAAAGACAGGGCAGCGGGTCTCACAAAGCACCTAGAGATACCAGCTTTTCAAGAGAAAACAAAAAAGAAAACCACCAACAAAAGAGGCATATTTCTCAAGCTACAAGGCAAAGGGGGAACATTGCTTAGCGAGGGCCAGCTCAGATGTTCTTAAAACCAAGAAAGTATTCTGACGCTGAGAAGAAAGCGTGTTGTCGCCCCTCGGTAACTTAGAAGTACGAGAACCAAATCTGGAGCACAACAGTGCCCGCGTGTCCCCAGCCTTCCCGTGCCCAGAGCGTACCACAGACCTGCAGCGGGGACACCCAGCCCCACAAGCGGAGCAATGAAACCACCCTTCGGCAAAGCCAGACCGTCCCCTGGAGACGGGCCGGCCACCCAGCCCCGGAGGGGTTACGGCTTCCCCCCCACCGGGCTTGGGGCAGAACGGCGGGACGCCCTCACAGCGAGGGGCAGCGCACGGCGACTCGGGGCGCCCGGCCCTCAC